ACCGACCACCCATTACCACATCTCCGTGGCTCACTTGTCTGTTCCTGTCCCATTCGGCTCCCGCCATCCCCTTTGATCCTGGCCGCCAGCTCATCGGCAAACGTCGGTCCACTTCTTTTCTATGCACAGCAGAGACCAAAAGAATCACTTATTCTGTAGCAGACAAACTAGTGCAGTTTACTTTTGGACACCTAACAAAATTATGTAAACAACAGCAAGAAAGCTGAACTGAGGAGAAGACAGAGCTTCATTAAATGAATTTAAATGTATGTACCCTATACAGATCATCTAAGGAACAGGACTCATAAATGTTCCTTCAAAGGGAGATGCTCTTTATTTCCTTATTTTTTTAAATACTTCACTTTAACACTTAAAAATCTAGGAAAAAAAACTGATACAAGGTGCCTGAGGGGAGATGGAGAAACACTACGGTCTTAAAACTCTGGAACGGAACATATTCTAGATGATCTGACTTGTAAAACAGTAACATCTGGAGAAGAAAGTGGCACTTGTAAGGCAATTTGGGATGCTCACCATCATTTCCAAAAGTGTAACTAAAGCGACAAATGTGATGCAAAAACAAAATGGCTACAAATACAAGTGACAACACAAGAAAAGAGTCGTAGGTAACATTCCTAAAACCCTTCCAAGTGGGTAGTAACCACAGTCTTTCTTACAGGTCTAGCGTTTTCTTCAATATCCTCAATATCTTCCTCCTCCTTCTCAGAGTCAGCAAAAAGGTCACAGCCATCATCCTCCTCCTCTTCATCACTCATCTGTGTGGTGTGCTAAGAAAACACCGGATTAGAACGATTAGATACAATCATCCAGCTGAAAAGGAGACACTGTCACTTGGCCTTTATACACCTTCAAAATAGTTAACAACAGCTTTTTAAAAGAAGAATGATGACAGTCATGCTGTAGCAAGTTATGAAGCAATGCATGTGCTGGTGCAAATAATACACATGATTTACTGAGGGTCTAAATAAAGAATTTACCCTTTAATAAGAATGTAATGGAAAGAATACAAAATATTGAAATACTCAA